GTATAAAAATAGACACAAGAAAAATCACAACATCATATGAAAATTACAACGTAATAACCCCACATTATCACATATCATCCCTGACAATAACCACCCTTATCTCTCCTATAGCCACCCTTATCACTCCTATAATAGCCTCCCTTATCCCTCCGCCCTGACAATATCAATAGTCACCCTTATCGCTCTTATAGCCACCCTTATCTCTCCTGTAGCCACCCTTATCACTCTTATAATAGTCTCTCTTATCCCTCTGCCCTGACAATATCAATAGCCAACCTTATCGCTCCTATAGCCACTCTTATCGCTCCGCCCAGACAATATTCCAACACACATAACAATAGTGAAATGCCACCCTTATACCCACATAATATCAACAGTGAAATGTCACCCTTATATCCTCAAAATAATAACTCAAATAACACAACAATTTACACGAAATATTATCATGGCAACATAACAAAATTAATTCATATCATAATTTGCCCAATGGCCACAACCAATTCCAAAGATATAACAAAATCAATTAATTTTACAACAACTAGCCCAAGGCTCCACACAATGTGTATAAAATCTCGAAACAACAACATAGGTGAAAAATACTCAGTATAGGGCAACGCCTTCATTAATCCAAATTCTTGATAATTATATAACGCCTCGATTTAAACTTGTTTCGTTAATTATTTGGAGATGAAAAATTCATAATATAATTATTTCCAGAAAATATCAAATCACCAAACTCACGGAATTCACGTAATTATACAAGCAATAACCGCATCAAATTGTCATATAAAAATAAATTCAACAAACGCGAATTGAGGCATGACAAATAGATGATTTAATAAATGCCAACAATTATCTAATTTACTACAGAATATGTCTAGGACTTTAACCCAATTAATTTTGCACATATAATCCCGAGTACGTACTCGTCACCTTGCGTACACGGCTTTTCACATTTCACAAATGGCATATAAGACTCAATGCCTAAGGGGTAATTCCCCTACTCAAGGTTAGGCAAGATAGTTACCTTTTTGAAGTTAGGCCGATATTCCAAAATAGCATTCTTGCTTGATTTGACCTCCGGACATCTCAAATCTATCCAAATTAATTGTGTAACTTCATTAAAATTCATCGAAAATAATTCCGGATAATAAAATACCAACTTAAAATTTTATTCTAAAAAGTCAGCGCGGGGCCCACCCCTCGGAACCCGGCAGAAATTTTACAAAATCCGAATACCCATTCCGATACGAGTTTAACCATACCAAAATTATCAAATTTCGATAGATCTCCCTTCAAATCTTAAATTAAAATCTAGAGAATTTCTACCATTTTCAACCCAATTCACTAATTTAGTGATAAAAACAACAATAAATTTATGTAATTTAACCAAAATCAAGTTAGGAATTCTTACCCCAATATTTTCTTTGAAAAACTCTCAAAAAATCACCTCACCCGAGCATACTTGGTCCAAAAAATAGAAGAATTAGACGAATTTGGACTTTATTCTGCTGCCCAGGGGTTTGTTCTTCGCGTTCGCGACCCTCCCCTCACGTTTGCGATGAACAAATTCTCCAACAACCATTTTTAAACTCTTCTCATACATCCTCTAGTATAATGGTCATAATCTTTTGTACAAAATTCCAAATGATGAATGGTTTAACTTTCTGAAAACTAGATTCCAAGAAATATAACTTTCATTTGTTTTTCATCTCACAATTCCTTATAGATTGTGAGATATAAGATTCCAAAATCAGCCTTGTGCAATAAAGATTTCCAAACTCTTCCCAAATAGCCTATAGTTTATCCACTATAACTTTTTTTACACAACTCCAAATGATAAATGGTTTACCTTTCTGAAAACTAGACACAAAGGGCTACAACTTACATTTTTGAATTATTTCCAAATTCCTTATAGATTGCGAGATATGAGCCTCCAAAGTCAGATGACGGAGAATAAAAATTCCACACCAGAACCAACAACCAGCAACATCAAAACATCCAAACTTGGTCTGGAACCACCCCGAATCAAACCCGAGGCCCCCGGGACCCCGTCCAATCATACCAACCAGTCCCAATACATAACACAAACCTGCTTGAGGCCTCAAATCACATCAAACAATATCAAAACTATGAATCGCACCCCAATTCAAGCTTAATGAAACTAAAAATTTTTAACTTCTACATTCGACACCGAAACCTATCAAATCAAGTTGGATTGACCTCAAATTTTGCACACAAGTCATAAATGACATAACAGACCTATGAAAATTTTCAGAACTGGATTCCGACTCCGATATCAAAAAGTTAACTTCCCGGTCAAACTTCCAACTTAAACATCATATTTCGCCATTTCAAGCCTAATTCCACTACGGACTTCTATATAATTTTCCGTACATGCTCCTAAGTCCAAAATTTCCATACGGAACTATTAGAATCATTAGAATTCGAATCCGAGGTCGTTTATACATAAGTCAAATCTCCGGTCAACTCTTTTCATTAAGTTTCAAAAATGATAATTGTTCGTTTGATTAAATTTCGAATCTTCCGAAAATCAAACTCGATCATACCCACGGGTCATAATACATATTACGAAGCTGCTCGAGACCTTAAGTCACTAAACGGGGCGTTGATTCTTAAAATAACAAGTCAGGTCGTTACACAATCCAAGGCTTTTCCAAGGTTTAACAGGGTCTGATACATACCCGATCCACTAAAGAGTTTGTGGAGAGATCTGGGCACCCAGGGACAAGGAGAAGTACGCAAAGTGTTGGGACAATTGCCTTCGCTAATGGAAGTCAAGCCGTGCAAGGAACTCATTGAGGCGGTCACTGCCTTTTGGGACAAGGAAAGAATGGTATTCAGATTTGGAGATATTGAATTGACACCATTGCTAGAAGAAATCGGAGGTTATGTTGAAAATACAAGTCTGTTGTGAAGGGATAAAAAGTGGGAAAGGGGTGAAATGATCATTCCAAAAAATCCTTCACCTCAAGAGTTTTGTGAAAAGCTAGGTTTGCAAGGAGGCAAAATAATGACCCATGTAATGAAGTCCAAAATTTCACTTCAGTACTTGTATGATAGATTCGGGTATGCTCGAGAGATATATAATATAGAATCACACTGTCCCGATGCATGGAACCAAAAAAGGGTTTTTGCATTTGCCGTTTGTTTTCTAGGGTTGGTGGCTTTTCCTCGAGGAGCTAAAGAAGAAATTCACACCCGACTTATTATGATAGCTGATGTATTATTCAATGAGATAGACAGTAATCCTGGCACTATAGTGCCTATGATCTTGGTCGACATCTATCGGTCTTTGAGCCGTTGCAAAGACGGGCTAGACATTTTGAGGGATGCAACTTGCTACTTCAAATTTGGCTGATTGAAAACCTCCAAAAGGTTAATGGAAAGCAGGCACTTCGCAAGCATATTGGAAATGACTATATTCTATCGCATGACTTGAGAGTAACTTTAGGGGTCAAGAAGATAAAACGCCCAGCTGATGTTGAAGGTTGGGTTAGGCTGCTAGATCGTTTGACAGAAGATTCGGTCCAATGGATGTTTGACTGGTTCCCTTCCTCGTAATGGGTGGTTTATGCCAGTGAAACCCCATACTTAGTTTTGATGGGAGTCCGAGGCTTTCGACTCTACATGCCAATAAGGGTGTGCCAATGAGGCCTTCGACCCTACGTGCCAGAAAATATTTCCTATCCACTGTTTGGTGTAGTATACTAAAAATTAAAATGCATTGCATAATTTTTAAGAAAATTAATTGTTTATAAAAATGCACTCCATATTCTTTAGCTTTAAGGGACTTTAAGGTAATTTTATCTTTAACCATACTAATGCATGAATTAATAGTCTTGGTATTGCTAATACCATGGTTTGCTATGTATTAGTTATATATGGGATAATACCAAATACATTGTATAACTAATACTTGCATTACTAATACGTAATTGAAAATGTGTACCAAACAAATGGAGTAGTAATACCAAAAGTTAATGCATGCATTATTTTCTCTGATGCATCCTACCAAACGACCCCTTAAAGTTTACAAGCTCGAGCACTTTTAGTCCACCTTAATTGAATCAAACGAATTCTACTAAAAATAATGGAACACCACGTTAAACATAAGAAAGAACTACATTGCTATCGGTCATTAATTATTTAACGGAACGAGCTAGTCTTAAACTAAGGAACTTCGTTGTCCTTGCTTATAAAGTATTCACGTTCTTCATTTTCTACAATTATATTAAAAAAATTTAGCTCTGAAAATTTGAATAATACATGTTTATAGATTTAATTAAACATCCATAGTTTATGCACTTCGCGATTGAATGGAGAATATGGAGTAGCGGAGGAGCTCTCAAAGTCATTGCTACCACCTTTGCCGCAACCATCTCGTCCTACTTTAGTTCACCATAGCGAAATCATCCCCTTCTTTTTTTGGCAATAGAATAATCTTGAAATTGTTGATCAATTAGATATATTTAAGATTCGATGTAACCCTTTAGATAAAAATTTTGCTAGTTTCTAATGGTGTTTGAAAGGTATGACTACCATGATATGATTGCTGAATTCGTAGAAAATAGAAACATAAGATATTGATTAAAAGAACACGAGATATAAAAAAAGAAAGGCTAGACTAGATGAGACTTAATTGGGATGATAATGAACAACCAAGTTTAAATTGCAACACCATTTAAAAGTCACATTTCATTGAAGATTGGCATCAAAAGATGACTGGGGAGAGAGAGTGACAAGTTAAACTAAACCAGTTTGTATTTAATTGGAGTAAAGCTATAGAAGACCGTCAATTCTTGATGGAAGCTATGTGGTTATGTTAGAGTGGACCATAAGTGCTCACATTTGCATACATAAGGGACTGTTATTGCTTAGTGTTATATAATATAAGGAGGATAGAAATAAAGCGACCAAAATTTAAGGGACAATTTGAGTTAAAAACACACATTAAAAACTAGAAAATATCTTCCTTTACAAAGTACACAAGTTTTAATAGGCATCTCAGCTGCAAACCTGTCGCAAAAACCCTAATCTCAGAAAGTTCGCTAAGGTTTCTGTCAAAACCTAACCAGCACTTCTTCACCGGCGGAACACCGAACCTTCGGCCGTCCGGCAGAGAACGTCACCTCAAATGGACTTCGATGAGTACGATTATCTGGAGAAGACTGTAGAAGAGCCCAACGGTGGTCCTTCTACAAAGAGCAAAGACAACAACAACAGCAGCGCCGAGAAGGAGAAGAGCGAGAAAGCCTATCGCCGAAGGGAGAGAGACGGGAGCGAGGAATACGCCGCCGAGGACGACAATAGAGATCGACGTAGTAGCAAAAGGTCTCGCGGCGACGGCGAAAAGGATAAGGAGAGAGATAAAGATAGAGATAGGGAAAGGGAAAGGTCGTCGAGGCATCGGAGCAGGGAGCGAGAATCGGAGAGAGACAGAGAGAGAAGCTCAAAGGACCGAGACCGAGAACGTGACAGAGAGAAGAGGGAGAAGGAGAAGGAGAAAGAGAGGGAGAAGGAGAAGGAACGAGAGAGGGAGAGGAAGAGTAGAGATCGGGATAGGGAGAGAGATAAGGAACGGGAGAAGGAGAAGGAGAAGGAGAAGGAGAAGGAGAAGGATAGAGAGAGGGAGAGGTCAAGGAGGAGCCGGAGTCGCTCCAGGATTGAACGAGAGCGAGAGAAGGAGCTGTCAAGAGACGTCGAGCGTGAACGTGACTTTGAATCACGAGACAGCAGGTGACAACACTCTTTGCATTTATCTTATGTTAAATGCATATCAATTTTTTCAGTTTATTATAAAAGGATTATTGTTTGTTGATAGTAATTATCAGTTCAAGTTGTAGTGTTTGGAGAATACTTTCTGATGTATATCAATGTGGCTATCAGCTACAACTATATAGCCGTTAATGTAGTGAAACAGCATTTGCATCTTATCTTCTTAATTTCTCAATTTGACTTTGTAGAATTGCTAGGTGCCACTATTTATCTTTTGTACTAGTTATTGATGTCTTTTGGTTCCTTTCAACGTCACTAGACACGTCCTTGATAAAAAAAATTATGCTAGGCTTGTCTGTTGACTGCTGTTGTGACCTAAAAAACTGAAAAATCAGGTTATGGCTCAGCTTAAGTATGTGTTTGAACACTCTCTGCTGAGTGTTTTTGAGTTCTAGTGGATTCAAACGGAAGAGACTTTTTGAAATAGTCTAAGTGCGTTAAAGAGTGTGAGTTTATCCATATAGGATGTAATATTCTGACTTGGGTTGAAATCGTAGATGGATTATTTGCACATCTTAATGGGCTAACAATGCGGAAACCCTTCAAGGCTTGATTGAAGAAGTGGCTTATTCCCACATATATTGAGTATGATAAGGTCTGTTAAGTTCCTTTTTGGCCTTTGAGATTATCACTCACTCTTGAATCCTTCCAATGTTTTTGCATTGATGGATTTAAGGTTACTTTTTCTTACATCTGTGAGATGTTGACAAATGATGTATTGGATTTCTAGGTTGGCAACGCATATGGTGCGAGGCTGTATCAGTTTTCAACCTTTTCTTCTGTATCGAGACGAAAGTGCATTAACTCTTTATGTGATTGTTTTTGTGAAAGCAGGGAAAAGTCTCAAAATTTTGGTGCTGGACAGCGAATAATGTCACAACTCACAACACCCACTGCATTCATATTCTTAACTTGAAGTTTATACTTGGAGATGCTTCAAAAGTTCAAATTATCTTCTAGAATATGCTCCATTGTACTTGTTTTCTTTTTAAATGGGAACGATGTGTGTCACTGGAGGTTGGAATTCTAGTTGCTTCCTGTTTAGATATAAAAATGAAACTCGTTTTGGGTCCTGGAGCATTTATAGGGAGAAACAATGTTATATTCAGATAAACAAGTAGACAAATGAAGTTAGCATTTTTCAACTAGCCTATCCAAAAACTTACAGAAGCTTTCTGACTTTTATCCGCGTTTTTCTTGAAAGGGCTTGCCTTGATGATCTTTCCTGCTGCAGGAGCTACTCTATCTAATCGATAAAGATGAAACATTTTGCACAGCGAGGGAGATTTTAGAGGATGATGATTCATCATGTCCTAATGTAATTTGTAGCATGTTCATGTATTTATGCAAGTTTGGTTAAACTTGGTTTATAGTAGTTGATTGTGTTCAAATGTAGCAGGTGCAATGATGTAAATGAAAATCCTCTCCCTTCTACATGTAACTTAAAATTTATAAACAGAGCCTCGTACTTTTCTTTACTATCCTTGAAATTAATGCGATATAAAGGTTGGTTTGCTTCAATATGTTCTGTGGATTGTGAAATAGGGAAAGCGAGGGTCTGCACTAACTCTCTAGCCAGTCAACGAGGTCATATTTAGATACTTCTTTGTTATGATCTGTGCCATACATATTCTCATTTTGGTCTGAGTCATTTATACAGGAGATTCAAGGAGAAGAAAGAAAAAATTGAACCAGAAGCTGATCCAGAAAGGGACCAGAGAACTGTTTTTGCTTACCAGGTAGGTTTCGATGTCTTTGTTTCTGCCTTGTTCATCTCCATACCTGAGCATTTCNCTAGAGTGTCAAGTACTGTGAATTATAGTTAGAGTTGAATCTCAAGATTGCATCATTTGAAGTTTAGTTATGAGATATGGTCTGTAAATAATATACCAATTGTAAACGTAGTTTTAGATTAAAAATAATAATACACCAACTATAAACGTTGTAAGATGCCAATCAGTACAAATTGTCCTTAGAGCATTTAAAGTTTTTTTTTTGAATATCAAATCTTAAACCATATGCTTGCAAATGCATATAATTGAGTGCTACTGATATGTGCCTGTGGGACCCACCCGTATGTGTTTTTACCTCTGCTGAATCTGAGAGGTTTTGTTGAGCTCTCTTTACCTTTTTTCTTGTTGGGAGTTCCAGACATGGTTTTAATCTTATTGACATTGGTTATATATTGTTGTTCTAGGGCCTAGTACTGCCATTGCTAGGGCTGTCATGTCCTTTCCCTGGATGTCTTCTGTCACCAACCAGTAGATTTCTTTATGCACCTCAGCTTTGCCACGATGTGGTCTAAATACCTGATCTATGCTGTTATTTCAGTTGTGTTAATAACTTATTGATATCTGTGCAGGTACATTGAGTTTTATGATGCTATGTCTGTGCCAATGGCTATTGCTTTATCCGGTCGCTTGCTTTTTGGCCAACCAGTCATGGTAAAACCTTCTGAAGCTGAAAAAAACCTTGTTCAGTCAACTGCGTCTGGTGGTGGATCAGGGTTGGCAGGGCCAAATGCTGCCTCAGAGAGAAAACTTTATGTAGGAAATCTTCATTTCAACATGACAGAGTTACAGCTTAGACAGGTAACAAGATTGACGTCTTTATCTGCGTACAGTAACAAAAGCACCCGGATAGACACTTGTTATATGCAATGCATAATGGTGGAGGCTTAAATGCACATATTCTATGATGTTGATCCACCTTAACTTGTAGAATACCTGTCAGACAACTTAGGGCTCTTTGCTTCTTATAAATGATGTATCCGGTACAGATACCTATGTATGCGTTATTTTGTTTTTTAGATGGATATGATTGACTTCCGATGTCCTGAGACCGATCTCTGACTAAGCTTTTATTTTCTGTTTCTAATTGCATTCCATTATATCTGGTGTGTTCAGATTTTTGAAGCTTTTGGGCCAGTAGAGCTTGTACAATTACCTACAGATCCTGAAACAGGGCATTGTAAGGGGTTTGGATTTGTCCAAGTAAGTATTTTGCAGAACTGCAATGTTTCTCTTAAATATATATTCTTTTATCGTTATTTTATTTCTTTTAATAACGCCTTTATGTTTCAATTTGGGTTCATCTTAGTTTGCTCAACTCGAACATGCAAAGGCAGCTCAAAGCTTGAATGGCAAGCTTGAAATTGCGGGTCGCACCATCAAGGTATGTCTCTGTAGACCTTACTTCTCTAAATACTGTTGGATGGCTGTATTACTGAGCCTTTACTAACCTTTTTGGTTCAATGCAGGTTTCATCCGTTACTGAACATGTCGGAGTACAAGATGCTGGAGCTAAAACTGCAGATTTTGATGATGATGAAGGGGGTGGCTTGGTGAGTTTGCTCTTAAATCATTATATTGGAGGACTTTGCATGCCATCTTTTCCCTTAAGTAGGTTAGATACTTCGGAAATTATGAGTATGATAGCGGTGGTAAAAGGCCAATCCATGTGTTCTCATTTGACAGGCTGTCTGTTAGACATAACCAGAGAAAAGTGATGTTCTAGTTTACTGCATTATCATTATTAGCTTCTAGAGCCCGTTTGGATTGGCTGGGAAAAAGTGACTTTTAAGCACAAGTGCTTAAAAGCACTTTTTATGTACTTGAACTTGTTTTACAAATAAGCAGTTACGTGTTTGGATAGAAGTGCTCAAGCTAAAAAAAAGCTATTGAAATGTTTGGTAAACAAGTGCTGGTAAGCACTTTTTTCTGTTAAAATGACTGAGATGTCCTAAAGCTGTCAACACTAAAAATAAGCTTATTGATGCATTTTTAATTTTAAATTAACTCAAATGCAGATTAATTTGTGTATCAATTCAGTTTAAGTTATAATACTGATTAGATAAGATTATTTTAATTAATATAAAGTACTTATTGGGTAAAGCATTAATTAATAATTGTAATTAAAAAATATACTTAAACTATATAAACAATTCATATAAAATTACCCACAAAGTAAATAAATTAAAGTGAAGTACTTTTAAAAATCGAAGACCACGTAAAAGTTACTTTCTTGCTTTCATTTTTAGTTATGCAAATGAATAAAAAATGAAATTTGAACTAGTTAGAAAGCTTTTGAAGTTGAGAAACAAGTATTGCTAATCAGTTTAGAATACTCCTGAGGCTATGATACCGGTTAGGAAGAAATGGGAAGAAAAAGAAACGGGTTAGAGGTTTTAGTAAGAGAGGGTACTTTGGTAATAATAAAAGTATGTAAGGGATAATAGGGTAAATTACTTGGTCAAACTCAAGTAGCTTTTAAGCCCAAAAAAAAAAGTTGGGATAGACAACTTATTGCTTTTGGCTTGTTTTTAGTTTTTTGGCTTAACTTGACTTTTTGTATTTGCCAAACACCAAAATAAGCTAAAAAGTGCTTTTAAGCTGGTTTGACCAGCTTTTAAGCCAATCCAAACACCCTCCTATTCTCTCTCTCTCTCTCTCTCTCTCTCTCTCTCTCTCTCTCTCTCTCTCNCCCTGGCAGGTTTTAACAGGACCAGCCACTCCTATGTTATTGAAATATTTGAGTTCTTGGATTGTTTTCAGTGGAAATTTAAAAGAAAACCGAATCAAACCAAAGAAAACTGACATAATATCGAACTCTTTTGACTCGGTTTGGTTTTCAATTAAAAAACTGACAACATTTGGTTTGGTTAAGTATTCAAGGAAAGAGCATAACCAAACCGAGTATTATAAATGTTATTTATTAAATTTTTATGGTGATAAATATTTTTTTTATAAATCTACTTTATATATTCTTAACCAAAAAAGTTATATAGGCATACTCATGGTGCTTTGTAGAGTTTTCATATCCTTCTATATATTATGTAGTACTCCTTCCGTTCCAGTTTATGTGAACCTATTTTCTTTTTGGTCCGTTCCAAAAAGAATGAGCCTTTTCTAAATTTGGAAACAATTTAGCTTAAACTTCCAAGTCTACCCTTAATGAGAAGCTTTTATAACCACACAAATACTCCGGATCCCTTTTTTGACTTGTTTAGCACCACAAATTCTAAAAATCTTCATTTTTTTCTTAAACTCCGTGCCCAATCAAACAGGTTCACGTAAATTGGAACTGAGGGATTAGTTATTTAAGAATGATTTATTTTCTGTTTTAATCATTACGATTAGATAAATTTGGAAACATTTATGGATGCAATGTTGTTGTTTGATCTACGAAAGTGAATAATTGTCGTGTCTCATGGTGGAATTTCTCACGTCTAGATGCTTTAATACAACAACAACCCATTATAATCCCACTAGTGGGGTCTGGGGAGGGTAGTTTGTACGCAGACCTTACCCCTACCCTGGGGTAGAGAGGTTGTTTCTGATAGACCCTCGGCTCCCTCCATCCAAGAACTCCCTACCTTGCTCTTGGGGTGACTCGAACTCACAACCTCTTGGTTGGAAGTGGAGGGTGCTCACCACTAGAGCAACTCACTCTTGTCATATCTAGATGCTTTAATACATAATAGGTTAATCCATTTGTTCAATTCTTGCTAAGCATATACTGACCTGTTAGAAATTGTGTCTTTAGCTCTAGTAGCAATGAAATGAATTTGTATTTCATGTGAAAATAAACAGAAAAACCCAACAAAACCGAAAAACGACTATTTGTTTTGGTTTAGTTCTATAGTTAACAAACTGACTTACTAGTTGGTTTGGTTTCCTTTTAGATGAAAACCAAACCAAATTGAAACTGAACCATGAACACACCCTACTGAGCATAACACTAAAGATCAATGATAAAAAAAAAGATTATAACATGGAGCCATTATCAAGGCTAGGACGTTGTGCTTTGACTTCCTTTATTCATCTGGTTTATGTTGTTTTCAATGAGTGATATCATATTCTCCGAGGAAAATTCTTTTTATGTGTTGGAATATTGTAAAGCAGAATTCTGTGTGAGTGTTATTTCTTGTTTTTTTTACGTATTCTAGGAAACAATATAGTAGCTGTTCCTGAAAATTGTTAGTTCTTAAAGAAACTATTCTTGCTGAACTATTTACAAGACGCTCTTTTCATTTTGGGATGCTGGAAAATGTTTGACTTTGGCATTGGCATTGGCATTGGCATTGCATTCTAGAGAGTTCATTTTTTTACTATTTGAATTTTAAACGTTGATGTGATGTTTGCAATACCAAACTGACTTTTGATCGTCATTTTTATATTCTTACGCTACCTCTAGTGTAATATGCACGACTCAAATTAATATCTTATACCGTCTAGTCAAATACTATCATATAAAAGTACAATAGAGGAAGTGCTATATAATCTCTTCAACGGTATGCATGATATAGTTTTTGTGACCAGAAGTTTGTGTTGAACATGTGCAAAAGCTGAACGAGTTTATGATATGGGATCATTCTTCATTCTTTCTAATACTGCTGTGTAAAAAAAAATTAGGTTACCTAAGTGCACACTCTGCTAATACTCCCTTTCAGCTAGTTGATGCATAGTTTTCCCATTTTTGACTAAACCACCCTCAAAGCAGCGCAGTAGCAGCGATCTGATTTGATGCATCCTAGGAAGTAGAAGTATTAGAAAGCTGAACTTGTATTTCTTTAGGCTAATCCATTCTGAAGCTTCTCAGGAAGCAATAGGCTCATTTTGTTCATAATATGATAACTAATGGGAAGTCTTCCTTTCCTCTTTCTTTCTCTTTAAATTGACAAAAATTTATATTTTATTTTTTCTTTTTCTTTTTGGTAACTCTGAATGTGAATGCAAATTAGAAATCTGATGAATTCATTCTCTCTGATAATATATAGACAGAGAAGGCAAAGAACTGTCAGAAGAAAACTTTAGGCTGCTAATTGTTGCCAGCTCTATTATTAAATGCATACTCATATGAATCATTTTGTCCATATTCCAGGCCTTAAATGCTCAGTCAAGGGCCATGCTTATGGCAAAGTTGGACCGCAGCGGTGTTGCTTCAAGGTTTGTCCAGATTTCTCCTGCTCTTTGGGGAGTTCGTCTTTTCCCCCCTTTTTTTCCCGTGTGGGTGGGTGGGTAGTAGCCATGTTTCATGTCCCAAACTTGATGCTCAAATTTTCCTCTACAGTGTTGCGGGTACACTTGGAGTTCCTGCACTTAATGGAGCAGCTCCAGCTCAGATGAGCATGCCCATAGGTGGGGCAACAGCTTTTCCGAATATGCTCCCAACGCAAGTCATTGCTGCCATGGCTCCTGAACCCATTGGAATTCCCAGCGAGTGTTTGCTATTAAAAAATATGTTTGATCCTGCAACCGAGGTTTGTGTCCCCGTGGAATTTCATATTTAACATTACGTTTTTGACCATCAAGGCTAGGGAGGTGCATATCTTAATTCTCTATTTTTTTCAATAATATTAATCTTTCAAGTATGTGCTGCAGACGGATCCAGAATTTGATTTGGATATTAAAGATGATGTAAAGGAGGAGTGTTCCAAGTATGGCAGGGTCAAGCACATCCATGTGGACAAGTATGTGGTTAATTTATGTGGGGTCAAATTTTGAGCTCTTTTGACTTATAAGATGCATTGATTCCTTTGCCTGGTATATCCTTTAATTTGGTTTGTGAGACCTTCTGGGTAGGTTTTTCCTTTTGCTCTTCTTGGCAGCACAGGGATGCTGTCCCAGTTGCTTTTGGTTTTAAAAAGAAAAAGGGAAAGACCAAAGTCGCTTTTGGCAGTCAAGCTAAACTATGCCATGTTATGGTCCCTCTGATAAGGCTTCAAATTTGATTGTCAAATGACCTGTTGATTTACAAGTGGCTGGTGCTTCATTCCTGTTATAGACAAATCTCTCTCAAATACTATCCTCTAATAAGCAGCTATTCCAATTGGCTGCTTACTTTTAAATTAATGCTATTTTCTTCAGCTGTTGATTCTTGAAGTATCTTTTGGCAGGAATAGCTCTGGTTACGTATACTTGCGGTTTGATAGCGCCGAAGGTGCATCTCGTGCTCAACAAGCTATGCACAAGAGATGGTTTGCTGGCAGATCGATTTC